ACCATTTCACGGAATAACTTTTCCTCTTTAAGTGATGCATGAAGTTTAGAAAAAAATAAATAAATAAAAAATTAAATAGAAACTAGCAGGCTGTTATAACTAAGTCATTACATTATTTACCATTGCCTGCAACAGGTCCGATAGCAGCATTTTGCAAAAGATTGGCTTCTCTTGCCTCTGGATGAGTTTTAATGAATTCTGCTCGCGCTTTTGCAGCAGCTTCCTTAATAACTTTTTCTTCATCTTCGGTTTTATATAAATCGCATTTTGTGCATTTCTTACATTTTTGTCCGGGTATCGGTCGAAAGTGATCACAAACTATTATAATAATTACGAACTTGTTAGATTATAATCATGAAAAACGAATATATGACCACCACGCATAAGCTTAAAAGCTTACAATGTGCATACGACTCTTGACGCAAGTCTTTTCTGCACAAATAACACATGACGTACCCTATAATAAAACAATAATTCAAGATTCATTATGAAAAGATAGCTAAAAGTTCAATAACAAAAAAAAAAGAATTCATACAGACCACAACGACATGTCATCTTATTACAGCCGTCCGCCTTTGTAAATGATACATGACACTTTGGACACTAATAAATAAGATAAAATAGAAATCAACTTTAGTAATTATTAATGATTGTATGATTAATGATAAACTTACCGTTCGTTTGACAGCTTCGGCCATAGCCCTTTCTACGAAGAGCCGCAAGCTATCTTGCTCCTGTTCGTAACATTTATGAAAGGGTCGACATTCTCGATTGCATAGCATACATGACGATTTAGCGCAATCAGGATTCTGGCACTTAAATACATTTCCCCTACGTTTTCTCTTTACCTTAATCAAACAATAAAGCATTAAAATCATGGGCAATAATAAACAATTATCATTGAATGAAATTACTCACTCTTTTAACTATATTTTCAAAATCATCAATAAAAGTTCGCAAAGGAAACACACCCAATATCCATAATGCTATTTGAGGAAGGACAAAAATGGCAGCGACTTTCAAAGTGTTGATAATGTTCTCAAAGGA